AACCCAAAAAAAAAAAAAAAAAAAAAAAAAAAAAAAAAAAAAAGATTTAAATTTGGGAAGTATGAATATTTAGTTTTGAACCCAAAAGAAAGGAGTTGGTCTAGCACAGTTTTATGTGCATACATATATTAGTGTGTGTTTAGTTTTAAGTAAAAACATCCCATAGTTTAAGATTAGATGACAGGGAATCCCTAAATGAGAGTGTGTATGGGTTCATTTGTTCACTTGTACACATGCGTTTCTTGGTTTGATCACAATTAAGGCACCCAGTGTCTTTGTTTCCTCCTCTTGCCCAAAGGCTCCTCACAGTGAAAACCTTTAAATCAAGTTTGAAATCAGTTTATTTTGTTATTCACTCAGATACTTTTTTATAAGAGGCTCTCACTGTGTAGCTCAGGCTGGTCTCAAACTCATGGCAGTCCTCCTGGCTCAGCCTCCCAATTGCAGAATTATAGGCCTGCACCCCCACACATGCCTCAGATACTTTCTAGAGCTAAATTTTTTGAATTTTTAAACATGAACTTTGGAAGAAATTTTTAAAAAACTTTTTCCTGTATAGACATTATTTATCACTCATGGTAAACTTTTAACTCCAAAATACTGGTAAAGATGACGAGGGAAGGTAATTTCTTCTGTTTTGTTCCCCACAGTTGGATATTTTAGGATTGATTCCATTTTGGAATAGGATTCCAAAAATGGAATGAGTTTTGCACTCTACATATAATTGAATTTCCAATAATTAGTAAGATCACATTCATAATGTGAATCCTCAGATTTGGATCTGTACTTTTAGGGATATGGATTTTTTTAACAGCTTTGGGCATTAGGAATCTAATAGACTAATAAAATAAAAAATTATGGAAATATTAGGGTTTACTTCAGGATTATGTTATTCTATTTCACCTTTTGGTTTTTAGAGTGCCTAGGTTACTTTGAGCATATATCTACACATCCATTTTAGAGTCATTGATTGAAAGTTTGAAACATTATTACTATGAAAGTTTTTTTTTTTTTTTTTTTTTTGGCATTTTTCTGGTATCGGGAATCGAACTCACAACCTTGCACTTGCCAGGCAGGCACTGTGCCGCTGAGCTAAATCCCCAGCCCCTATGAAAATAATTTTTAAAAAATCATTGTGAACTTTAATTGGTGTTCTACTGCTACTCTTTGATAAGCAAATACTATAAGCCTTTTACAATCATAAAATCTCCTTAACCTGTTTCTTCATCTTTCTGTTTTGAAGCTGATAATTCATGTAGCATTTTTGAAAAATGATCAGTCTGAATTTTTTGCATGAAATTGACATTTGTGTATCAGGAGCTGAATTTCATTCTTTACTTCTTTCTGGGGATAAATGTTTGAAAATTAATAAACCTTAGAAATCCAAATTAAGAAGTGTTGTGGACTATTCATGTAACGTCCTATTTGTTTTAATGAATGTCAGTAAAAAAGACAAAAATAAAATATTGTTTTGAAGGTGATAGGTAGACACATGATCAATGTATTTTATGTAATAGTACTTTAAAACCTATTTATTATACCAAATATATTAATGAGTATATGTTTTTTTATATTAGGTTCCTATCCTGAGACCATAGCAGTATGTGCCTTGGACAAAGGTATGTATATTAAAATATATTCAAATGTTCTATTTTAATAAAGTATAAAATTTTATATTACTATTGTATGCTTAGAAACATAGAATTACATTCCATGTTCCTATATGGCACATAATATGCACTTTTATTCTTGGGAAATTATCATAGCAAGAAAATACCAGAATCAAAAGTTTAATTATCAAATATGTATCATAGCCAAAGTGAAGAAAATTGCCAGGTGTGGTGGTGCACACCTGTAATCCCAGCACTCGGGAGGCTGAGGCAGGAGGATTGTTGTGACCAGCCTGGGCTACAACGTGAGCTCGAGGCCAGCCTAAACTGCATAGCGAGAGCCTGTCTCAAAAAGACAAAACAAACAAACAACAAAAAAAGCAAAGTAGAGAAATTCTTAATCCATATAAACTATATTCAAAGAACTGTTATCATTAATGGCCTGTTAAGTCAAATAATGAAATTATTCAAATTTTGATACAAGGTATTTAACATATATTAATGACTCTGATGATAAGATCATTCAGATAGGATATACATGTATTATTTTAAAAATCTGTTTAGAAGTGTCTGGATTTTTGGTGAACAGAGAAACAAGTTAGAATTACATCATTTTGACAAGAAGAAACAGTCATGAAAATAAACAGACTGAGAGTTCAATTATACAGATGTACTATGTGAGAAAATGAAAGTGTAAATAAGAAACAAAATGTATACTAGACATGGTGAAACATGAAGAAAATATTCAAATCAAAAGATGAACTGGGTTGGGGAAGAAAAAAGAAATGTGAAATGAAGGAAAAATGGGAACAAAGCTTTCTGTAAATAGGAAAGGAAGAGGAATTGAAGGGAAGGTAAGGGAATGGGAAAAAAATGAATCAAGCTGTCACATACATGTACAAATTCCATATGCTGAATGTGAACATTATGCATATCTAAAAGGTATGGATAAATTTAATTAAAAAAGAAAGATGATGGGAATCATTCAGGGTTAATACATGATGCCTATTATTTCAAAGTGGAAAAGTTTTGCCAAAGAAGGCTAATATTAAAAGTATTGAAAAAGATGGCTAAGTATAACAGCTAAATCCTACAAGAGGCAGAAAAAGGATCTGTAGAATGAATACAAGTTACGAAGAAGAACCTGTGGGTACAGGGCAAGGAAACTCAGCTTCATAAGGATCCACAAAGGAGGAGGACCAACCAGAAAATAAATCCTGCACACAGGAGCAAGTACTTTCCAGGGCTTCTTCATGGGGAGGAAGTATCAAGAGAATACTACTTAAACCAGACCATTAAAGATTTAAATGAGTTCCAATATGAGACAGGAAAAGTTTCGGTATTAACTGTCTGGAGACAGTTAAACATTGAATAGTTTCAGAACATTGGATTACAGTTTCTCTAAAGCCCCTCTGGAGCACCTACCTCACTGTGGGTCCTTCCAACTCCACAAAAGGTGGTGAGACTATGTTCTTTATTTTTCTACATGCTGAAGTAATTTTATATTGAAAGAAACTTTGGGCATTAGTTTGTGGTTATGAGAAAATTATGGGTGTATGTACACATGTATATTTAAAAATTTTTATTAGTACATGTTTGCAGTACGTACTGTTTACATTCCTTGTGGTGAGCTGGCCCATTACATAAACATTTTAATTCCCCTTTCATCCCTTTCCTGTCCCCTTCTTAGTAATAACTGATGCCTATTCTGTTTCACACAAACATAGTGTTTGGAAACATATAACTTAACTATATACACATCTTTGTAATTTCATTTGACTCAAAACATACTGTACTCTTCTGCTATGTTATACTTCTTTGAAAAAATAAACCACCCTGTAAATGCATATGTGGATAATATTCTGAGATTATAAATTTGAGACACATTCCCAAATTTTTCTTGTAATTTTTTCTTAATGATTTTCAACCCTTGTTCAAAGACTGATGTGACTTGAGACCATCACGGAAAGCATGCCAGCCAACGTGTGCAGCTGGAGGGGATGGGAACAGCCCCAGGCAGAAATCTGTCTATGTCAGGCTTTGGTGTGACATTTGGCAGGGAACTTAACTCAACAACACGATGCAAATAATCTTGGTTTCCCATGGATGTGCAGCTTCAACCTTCAGCCTGTTGGCAGTTTTTACTACTCTCTTTGCCTGATGTTCCAGAGAACAAGAATGTTAGTGAATAGAAACTGGTATTTTCTAGGTATTCTCACAGTATAAGGAAGGGGGAGGGTCACATTTCTGAAATTGGACGTTCTGGGCTTAAAATGTAACCGGGACTTACCAGTTCTGTAATTCTAGGCAAGTTATATCAAATAGAAAATATATGGACTAATAGTTATCGTGGGGGTTATACAGGTACTGTAGTGGATTGATAACTGTTGGTCAATTTATAACCCCCAGCTGAACTGAGTAAGCGTGGTGCTGGGGGTGGGAGGCCCACCTGGGGATTGTTGCCAGCAGCATAACAGGCAGAACTGGAGAAGGAGAAGTAAGGCTGTTGGGAGCTGAGAAAGACTGTTGGGGGCTGGCAGAAACTGTAAGGAGCTGTTGGCTGTTTTGGAGGAGCTCATTATGCAGCCTTTCCTGGTGAACTTTGCTGTTTTCATCTCTGAGAAGCTCAGGACCTCGTTGGCACTGAGAATGGCTTTGGTTCACTTTGCAGGAGCTCTGGTCCTTACTTTGAGCATCACTTCCTGGCTCCGGAGGGGAAGATGGTGCATTGTCCATTTCCTGGAAAAACTTACTGCGTTGGCTTCCCTAATGGGAACTCAACCATCTCAATCATCAGAGGAGCTCGGGACCTCACTGTTGCTAAAGATGGCTGTGGTACCTTTCAGGGGAGCCCTGGTTCTTCTGAGCATCGCTTCCTGGCTCCAGTGCAGATCCCTCAGCCTGCTAGCCCAGATCCTTCATCCTGCTGGCACAGACTTCCTAAATTCCAGCACTGACTTTTGGGGGTTCCCAGAGCAGATCCGTGAAACAGAGCCTGCATGAGACATTGTCATGGGCCTCTAGTTGGATATGTGGGAGGCATTGTTATGAGCTTTAGGTCTTCAGCTGGACTCATGCAGGACATTTTCATGGGATCCAGGCCCTCAGCTGGATTCCCTGGTCTTGGTGTGTGGACAGATTTCCTGCACTCTTTTGTATATCATTCTTTGGGTTATTATTATAAATAATCATATAAAATATGTGTCCTGTATTATATATTGTGTCACCTTGCAAAAATAAGCCTGAAACCAACACAGGTACTAAATGACATAAGTGTTCTAGAGCAGTTCTTATTTTAGATAATACACATTTAACATTATTTCACTGCTTCTCACTTCTCTAGTGAGTTGAACGTGGTTTTAAACTTCATAATAATCATCTAAAATATCCTTTAAGTAGAAGAGTAATAATTTTAATGTATACTTGTGACTTAAATTATAGAAGCATGTGCAGTAATATTTGTGTATCTTTAAGTGGAAGCCACTGTTAGGATGAAAGAACTGCAAGTATCTTGATGTTGTTTTTAGTTCATTTTCGCAAGAATTCATGTGATACAAAAGGTATTTATGTTGCACAAGTGCTTTTTCTGAAGATCTTTGATTTAATTTTAGGTGATGTTAATGTGATTAAATGTAGGAATCATATTATAAACTGTAGATGGCTTAGAAAAATTATTCTTCCATACCATGTTAATATTAGCTTATTTCAGCAGTTTGGTAGCATCCTTTATAATACATCAAAATGTGTCATATAGTGTGATAGGTGCTCAGGATGATCTGTGCCTTCTAGGGAGTTACAGTACTACATGGGACAGAGACATGTAAGCACAACTTTTTAGCATAATGTGATAATACCTATGATAGGTGTTAATACAACAGGGAACATATACAAATTATATCTTATTGTTTTAAATTTATTTTATAGCAATTCTTTTTTATATTTTTAATTGAGAGAGGAAAAAATAAAAATATCAATAAAACAGAGTTTCAGATTAGGCTAGCAGGACAGTAACAATAATTAATACATTGCATACTGTTATCTGCATAGTAGTTATTCAAAGCACAAGATATAGGCATGAAATATTGTCCAAACAATATTAGCACAAACCTTTGTTTTCCGTGAACTAAGAGAAAGTAGTTGTGCAACTATCTTAACTATCTTGTGTGTGTATATATGTATTTTTTTCATTTGCCCATCCTTCCTTTCCTGTTTACCTCATTAAAGTGTTTCTTTTCTTTTGAAAAGTTTCCTTCTTATTTCCAGTAACTATTGCACATTTGGAATATTATTTACTTGTTCAGTTTCTCACACTAGTGAGACAATATGATGTTTATACATGTGGGTTTGATTTATTTCACTTATGAGTATGGTCTCAAGTTGCATCCATTTACCTATAAAACTCTCAAATTTATCCTTCTTTATGGCTGAGTAGCACTCTATTATATTAAAAATGCATATTTTTCAATCCATTCCTCAGTTGATGAGCATTTGAGTTGTTTCCAAGATTTAGTTATTACAAGTTGTACTGCTATAAATATGGGTGCACATATATCACTGTGGTATGATGTTTTTAATTCTTCTGGGAAGATACCAAGAAGAGGAATAGCTGGGTGAAATTCTGGGCAACAAAGACAAGTGAGGAGGCATCACAATCCCTGACTTGAAATTACACTGCAAAGCTACTCTGATAAAATTAACATGGTATTGGCAACAACAGCAACAAAAAAATCTGAAGATCAGTGGAACAGAATAGAAGATTGAGGCCTAGCTCCAAACACAGTAAGCCACTTTATGTTTGACAAAGAAGCCAAACATGTTCACTAGAAGAAAGGTCACCTCTAATAAATGGTGCTGGGAAAACTGGCTTTCCACATGCCAAAGACTAAAACTAGACCCATATCTATCACCATGCACTAAAGTCCAAATGGATCAAAGATCTAAATATTAAAACAGAAACACTAAATTTACTAGAAGAGAAAGTAGAAATTTGAACACAGGTGTAGGCAGAG